TATTATTTGCGAAGTTATTTTTCGCAACGGAGCTCTCACGTTAAAAGTTAGGATGACTAATATCGTTTATACCCTTAATGAATAATTCAAATTTTCAATATATAATTAAACAAAATAAAAAACGAATTACAAGGATTTTAGATTTATCTTTATCTAAAACTATTTTATATTGGGCTATAAAGTCTTTATTAACCTTGAAAAATAATTATATTTGTTAATATATAATTAATTATAAATTATAAACGAATTTCATTTATTTGATAATTCCTTATTAATTTTTTTTTTATATTATGTTATAAAGTCTTTATCAACCTTGAAAAATAATTATATTTGTTAATATATAATTAATTCTAATTTTTTGCAACGGAGCTCTCACGTTAAAAGTTAGGGTGGCTAATATCGTTTATACTTTTAATGAATAATTAAAAATTTCAATATATAATTAAACATAAATAAAAAACGAATTTCAAGGATTTTAGATTTGTCTTTAACTAAAAATATTTTATATTGGGCGATAAAGTCTTTATTAACCTTGAAAAATAATTATATTTGTTAAAATATAATTAATAATAAATTAAAAACGAATTTCATTTATTTGATAATTATCCTTATTTAATTTTTTTATATTATGTTATAAAGTCTTTATCAACATTGTAAAATAATTGTATCTGTTAATATATAATTAATTTTAAATTAAAAATGAATTTCATGAATTTGATAATTATCCTTATCTAACTTTTTATATTATGTTATAAAGTCTTTATTAGCCTTGAAAAATAATTCTATTTGTTAATATATAGTTAATTATGAAAAATCAATTCGAAAAGAATTTATGTATAGATAATTTATATTTTGTTATCCAAAACATTAATAAAGATAATTTTATTATAAATTTTTTGTCATGTCTAAAAATGATATTAATTTATTATTAAATATTTTAAATTTATGAGTATTTTCAAAATTAATTTGTGTAATGAAAATTATTTATATGATGATCAAAAATTTTATATATAGAAAGAATTTGTTTAGTTTATTATTAAATATTTTGAGTCTATGAACAATAATTTACTATAATTTACTTAAATTGATTATATAGTTATTTATAGATATTAGTAAAATTATTAAGCTCGCAAGAGCGGGCAAATCACCTAGTACCATATTAAGAACGGTTACTCACATTTTAATTACTTTTGATTTAATTTAATTAAGTCACTGATTTTTTCTAAAACCCCACTTAAGAACCTGAATTAAAGATGCTCTAATACATGTTAGTGTTTAGTCTAGGTCTATGCAAAGTATATATTGGGTATTTTTTAGTCTCTGTTGAAGTCCATATCCTAATTGACTCTTTTGGATATCCAAAGTATCTAAAATATTTTGTGTATATTAAGTGTATTTGGATACTTTAAATATATTTTTGATATTATGAATAACTTTTTTGAAACTTAGATATAATGATTATTTATCAGAAATTGACTTTTAAAAATACATCATCCAAATTAAATATAATTTTATTTATACCCATTTAATTCAATATGAGCTTAAATACTTAAATTCTTTCGAATTACTAAAGATATATTCATTTTAAATGGACCATAAATGATTTACTGTTACCTATATAATAAAATTTTAATTTAAGTATATCCGCCATAAATCTAACCCGAGATTTCTGTTGATTAACGATTTTTCGTAATACATATCTATATTATTTAAACTGGAGTATCATTTAGTACTGTTTGGAAATAAGGATAGCAAAGTAAATAAGAATTGTTTGGAAACATGAATAGCATATTAAGTATTTTTTTAATTGCATATTAAGCCATTGTATGTACAATAAATTAAATACTTTTCTTTTGTATTTCTATATTACTAAAACTGAAGTACCTTTCGGTACTGTTTGAAAATAAGGATAACAGTAAATAAGAATTTTTTGGAAACGTGAATAGAATATTAAGTACTTTAAAGTACTTTATTTTATTTTCACATTTATCAATTGTATTTACAATAAATTAAATATTTTTCTTTTTATTTACAGACTAGGCAATGACCTGCGCTCTGCGACAACACATGATAATAGTTTATAGATTATTGTCTTGCATTTAAAATCAATTTAAATTAATTAATTACAATGGTTTTTCTTTCTTTGTGGTCAAAATAAAAACACAAACTGAATCATATAGTATATATTATATAAAATAATTTTTAAATATAATATTACTTTATTTAATTTAGTCAAATATAAATTTTCAAGAGTGCAATTTTCAAGAAAACAAAATATCATAAAATTAAAGATCATTCATAGAAAATTAATGATAATTAATAGAAAATTAATGCAAAAAATTAATTTTTAGTATGTTGTTTTATTTTAATTTAAATTAACAAAAGTATAACATGTTAATATATGAATATTACAATTACTTCAAATTGCGTCAAGTTAAATTTCTAATATAACATTATGTGCAAATAAAAAATTATTATTCAGTATTTATATTATAAATTAATATATTCTATTATATGTGTAAATTGCAAAACAGAAAAAGGTATATCATTGTTTTAATAAAATCAACTGTTTATAAATTTACGTTAAACACAAGCTAAATCAAACACCCGCACGGGAGTGCGGGTCAAATTCTAGTATTTATTAAAACTGAAGTATTTTTTATACTATTTGGAAACATGGATAACAATATAAATCAGAATTATTGGGAAACATGTATATCAGAATCTTTAGTACTTCATTTTATTTTCACATTTAGCCATTATGTTTTTACGATCAATTAAATATTTTTATTTTCAAATCCTGACATTACATTTAAAATTAATTTAAATTAATTAATTACAATTAAAAATCTTATCAAACCAAATCCGTATTCATATATTGACAATTATTAATAATGTATGAATATTAACTAAATCACATGTATTAAAATAAGATGTACTTTTTATTATGATCAATTTAGTTAATATTCGTACAATATCAATAATGAATAATGCAAAAAAGTCAAATTTTTTTAGTATGTTGTTTCATTTTAAAATAAATTAACTAAAAGCAACAAGTTAATGTATGAATAGACAATTACATAAAATTTCATCAAATAATAATATTTATAATATAATATTATGTACAAATAAAAAATATTAACAAATATCTATATTATAAAAGAATATATTCTATTCTATATGTAAATTACAAAATATAAAAAATATACATAGAATTTTTATAAAACCAGCGGTTTATAAGTTTATGTTGAACATAAATTAAATCAAACATTCGCGCGGAGGCGCGGGTCAAGTTCTAGTCTATTCTATTAAAACATATACAAAATAATACTTGCCTATTTTTAAGTGATTTTTTTACACAATTTCCTTCTATTTTTAATTAACTCTAATCACTTCATTTATTGTCTTCTCAAAAATAGTCACTTTCTTTTTTAATCACTTCATTTATTGTTTTACTTGAATATGGAGTTCATATGGATTTGGTTTTGATGTATGAAAATTTTAAAATATCCAAAAAAACTAATGTATCTGAAACATGTTCGGATATTTGTACCAAAAATAATCATAGTAAGCGATTCGATTCAGGTATTTTGAATGAAACTGCAAATAACCAAATAAGCAAAAGTAACCATATTATCCGATTTGATTCGGGGCTTAGTTCTGATGTATATGACTTAATATTTTCAATTAATGATATTATGTCACATATAAAATATATAATTTTCATTATGAAAACAGAATATTGGTTTATAAAACTGTAAAATTTAACATCCACACGGGCATATGGATCAATCTCTAGTGTAATTTAAAACAAACATTTGGTAAACACTAATTTTGGGTTTGAGGCCCCACACACAACTTAAGGTCCAATAAGTAATAAACAGAATATAGGCCACCACATCCCACCAATGCAAAATAACTCTTTTTTTTTTATGTAACATTCTTTATTAAATAGAGCTGGTACTCTTAATTTTGGGAGTAGGTATATATCATTCTTTGAACAACACAACTAAAAGCTTAAAGCTTTAGTTTCTTAAATCACCGCATGACCTTTTCATGTGTTTTGATCTCACTCGCATGATATATCAAATCAATTCCGATAGGTCATCCATACTTACATTACTCCAGTTCAAACATGATTAACTCTGGAGTCTTTTATAGATGTGTGATCGAAAAGATAAAACACTTTGATGATGTAGATATCAAAATCAATTTTTAAAAAACTTTTCCCTATACCACAATCCGGGATATGTCAGCTTTACTTTGTGGCTTTGACTAATAACTATCAGCAAGCTGATACAGGGGCTAAGATGATTCACAAAGGAAAGAACACTAAAAGTGGGATCATTTCAAAGGGTATTTAGGCTGGTTATTTGAGGAACTGTTACTGTGGTCTTGTTCAGGTTCCGTCCAGAGCTGAAAATGCTAAAAACACTTCGACTTGTGACTCAATGGTTATTGATGACAAGGCTGATGCTAATACATATCCTTACATCCAGGTATAAGTGGTTCATGATCTTATCTGTTATATGATAAAAATCTGTAAACTTATTATTATTTGTGTGCTGACAATAACACTATAACAGGCAAGAACCCATCACGAGAGTAGAGTACGAAGTGAGTACCTCAAAGATTCGAGAAGATCAGCTTTTCTATTTTCAGCAGAGGGGAATAAATCACGAGAGAGCATTAGTGATCTCTGGATTTTGCAGAGATATCTTCAACAAGCTGCCTGATGAATTTGGAACCGAAGTCAACCAGCTTATAAGCATCAAGCTTGAAGTCTGTTAAATTTTGTATTATGTAATGTTTCTGATAGCTTTATGTGAAAAGTGTTGTTATAATTTAACTCTTGTTTGATCAAAAAAAAAAAATTAACTCTTGCCTAAAGCATGGATGTTTACAAAAATGATATGTAATAAACGTTTTGTGTACAAACTTATATTTATACAACTTTTTTTGGCTGAAATTTGGATATTTATACAATTTTGGGGAAATTCTTAGGATGTAGAATTTTCAAGAGGAGAATCAGTGAGAAGACATTGGATTTCTTCTAAAGATTTGCCTTTGGTCTCTGGAACAAGCTTGGCTATAAAGACAAATCCAAGGCCAGACACTATGGAAAACATAAGAAATGTTCCTGCAATTAATCAAAAAAAAATATATATATATATATATATATGAATTGTAAGAAAATCATATATATATGTCTTCTAAATTTTTTAAATTATATCTAGGTTTTCTGTATAATGATAATATTAAAATAACCTGTGGAACTCCATTGAAGCAAGAAATTAAAGGAATAAGCAACAAGCCATGAACTTATAGAGCCGGCCAAGTTACAAACTGTTCCGGCTGCTCCCTTCACGTCTACTGGATATATCTAAAATAAATGAATTATTCAGATTATATATTTTTGATTTCTTTTTTTGTGTGGAAATTTCTGTAACAAAAATAATTATCTACCTCTGATGCTATGATCCATGGTATTGATGACATGGCCAATCCGTATGATGCAAAGTATACCTAATTTTATTTCTCTGGCATTAAAGACAATAACCTATTTTAAAATAACTATTTGTTGTTGAAGTGAGTTTTACCAGAACACTGATGAGAGCCAAGTTAGAAGTTCCTTTTTCCCACCAACGATTCTCCTGTAAAGAAAGAGATTAAGGTCTAGTGTGATCAAATCAAGGTACCGGTTGAGTAGAGTAGACTAGTTAGTATGCCTGCAAGAAGAAAGAAATGGCTGTGGCAAGGCATCCCAACAATGATCCAGCTTGAGAAACCTACGATCACCCCCAAAAGAAAGAAACAAGCATCCTACATTTTACTCCAAAACCATCCAAAATAATCGGTTGTTTTATGCTTTCGGTTAAAAGTTTTAGTGTTAACCAGTAGGAGTGAACGTCTCCCAGATACATCCACAAGCATAGTACCTAAAACACCTCCCAACATCTACAAAATATGTTTTAAATGATTATATAAAATACCAAGGGATATTATTCATATTCTATAATCTATAAAACCTGAACTAGAGATGTTGTTATGAATCCAAAGTCACTTGATACACCTGACATCAGATACATTAACAATTATCAACGGCAAAAGAAACCAGAAGAAGAAGCAATTTGTATTTACCTGTACGGGTGAAAATGGAATCAGTGTAATATCTATAACCACTGTTTCCTCCAAGCTCAGGCAAAGCTATAAGAGCAACTCCAATCTGTGAATGGTTTAAATAGTCAAGTAATCCAAAGAGAAACCACAAAACTAATATATATTACACAAAAGAGTGGTGTACAGTAAGTGATAATGCATATTTTCGCTGAAAGAGCTTGAAGAAACTGTGGTCACCATCTTGTTGTTGTTTACCATGTTCAGTGTAAGCCTGTTATAATCATCAAAATGTTAGGAAAGCAATGTATAAATATAAGTATTACTAGTAAGTGTTCAAAAAAAAAAAAAAAAAGGCATTATTAGACATAGGTCGTAACCAATATCTCTTGGGCTTCATTCGATATATCAGATTCTGCTCCTCGCAGATTTAACAAGACCGCTATAACCTCCTTTTCCCTCCCTACTTTAGCCTATAAAACAGATGAATTCATCTTAGTTTCTTTTTTCTTTTTCACATTTGCTCACCTAATCTTTTAGCTAATGCAGTTTATTGTATTCAAATTTTCATTTAGTTAATGACAAACGAGAGAGTTATATAAATACAAATAGTAAGTATTGTGTCAATCTAAACGCAAACAAATGAAGATCTTACTAGCCATCGGGGAGATTCGGGAATGAAGAAAAGAAGAGGAATTATCACAAGAAAAGGAATAACTCCTGCGCAAAGACAAAACACAAAAACCATTGCTTTCACTTTGCTGCAAACGAGGTGGTCTAAACTTTTGCATTTGATTAGTATTGATTGATCTCTTTACCATACCCAAAATGGCTAAATCTCGCCAACCAACGACTGTACCAAGTGCATAAAAGACTGATGAACCGACGATTGCAAATAACTGTATAACAAGAATTGTATTTTCAGAAAATTAGAAGCATACATGATTTATATACTGTCTGAAGATGTTGGCTCTCTTTAGTCTTACCTGTGAGCAGGAAGAAACAGCTCCTCTTAAGTTTCTTGGTGTTATCTCAGTCACGTAAATCGGCCCCTGTGGTAAATGATCCGTTTATTCAAATATAGACACGTACATTCAATGTTTGGAGGGTTGATAATTTAAGATAATACTAGATTTTGACCCGCTCAACCGAGCGGGTGTTTAATTTCGTTTATAAATATGTATATATATATATATATATATATTTATTTACATCATTATTGGTATATATTATTATTCATATGTTTAATGTTTATAAAATATTCTAAAAGATTTTGTTAGAATTCTTTTTAAAATATTTATTTTATTTCAAATAGAAGAAAGATATCAAAAGATATTGTAACTAAGTCAAATAAAATGTTATTAAGATATATATGAAATATTACTTTCTAGGAATAGTCCATTTTTAAAAATATCACACATGAAGAGAAGTTGTGACTTCTCTTTTAATATAATAGATATACCAGTTATCCGGAGCCAAATAGACTAACACCTAGTTATCACTTGTCATATATTCATTTGATTAAACTATACTGAATCTTTATTTATTAACCGCTAAGGAGTTTGTGGTGTTACCAAATATACGCTGATTCCAATTCCGATCCCATGCAGTAACCTTCCTACATCGAGCATCCAGATAACCTTCAGATTAAAGAACAAACTCCAGTAAGATAACTAAGAAAATCATTTATAGAAGTGTCATAAAAAAGATATTCAATTCTTTACTTAAACAAAACAAATAAAAAGAAAACCGAGAAAATGGGAAACCTTCGCAAATGCAATACTGAACCAGCCGGATAGGAAGAACACGTTGATGATCCACATTGTCTGGCTCGAAGAGAATCACATCTCAAGGATTATAAAACTAGGTGCATAATTTTCTTACAAATATTTATTATTTTTGTCTTATTAATTCTAATAATATTATAAGTTATTTTTATAGTTTTAAAAAATCTAAATCAAACATTAAAATATTTTTATATGCATTTTCATCAAAATCTATATGCTTATTATAGTGTTGAAAAACATCCACATAATAAAATATTTTTGAAAATATATTTATATTTTTTCTTAATATTTAATTTTAAATTGTTTTATAACTTACATTTTTATTTTTCCTAATAAAAACAATTATTTCCAGATAACTGTATAATATTCTATAAGATATATTATATTTTAAATATGCATGAATGTGAATAGTTATCCTATTAATTTAGAATAAATTAACTAATATAATAACATATAAATTTCTATCACTAACATAAAATTCGTTTTTAACTAATTTATATATAAATATATAAATTTCATTGAAGGTATCATTAACTTGAACCGTTCCAATTTTTAATATATAATATTTAATTATATAATTAAAATTTTCTTTATACAAATTTTTTTGTTTGATTAATATTTAATTAAAATCAATTTTTCTATTTTAATTTTTATATTTTATATTTTAAATTTTATAATAGAATGATATTATTTTCAAAATCCAAAATAAATTATATATAAAATTAAGATATATAAACATTATCATGTTGTTACAATATTATGTTCAGATAATAATAACATATAAGAATACTTGAACCGTTCCAATTTTAATATCTAATATTTAATTATATAATTAAAAGTTTCTTTATACAAATGCTTTTGTTTGATTAATATTTAATTAAAAATGATTTTTATATTTTAATATTTAAATTTTATAATAGAATGATATTATTTTCAAAATCTAAAATCAATTATATATAAAATTAAGATATATAAGCATTATCATGTTGTTACAATATTATGTTCAGATAATAATAACATATATAAGAATTATCTTATTTTGATTTTTTATACTTATTATATTAATTATTTTCAGTTATCTAAGATAATAACATACTAATCTAATTTTATTTTTTTAAATTTCGTTTAAATTTTTATATTTTAATTTTTAAATTTTAAATTTTATAATATAATGATATTATTTTCAAAATCCAAAATCAATTATATAAAAAAATTATGATATATAAGCATTTTCATGTTGTTACAATATTATATTCAGATGATAATAACATATATAAGAATTATCTTATTTTAATTTTTTATAAACTTATTATATTAATTATTTTCAGTTATCTAAGATAATAACATACTAATTTAATTTTATTTTTTAAATTTTGTTTTTAATTATAAAATTAGTTATATTTTAAAATTTCATTAAGCGTAAAATAGATATTAACCGCTCCAACTTTTAACGTGAGAGCTCCGTGGTGAAATATCACTTCACAAATAATAGTATAGATATAAAGATGATATATTCATAATTAAATCAGTTGCAATGATATATTCATAATTTATTATTAATATACTTATAGAAATTAGAAACTTACGTTGATACGACCGACCATATCTGTTAATTTCCCACAGATTAATGCTCCAAGGATTATACCCACCGTTAGTATCGATCCAAAAAGTGAATACTGAAAATATACACCGACCAATAGGTATTTTTTAAAATGGCTGAACAAAAGAAACAAACCGGTCTAACCAGAGAAATAAACCGAAAGAGTAAACTAGACTTGCATCAGCGACAGAGAGATTGAAGTCTTTCATGATACCAGACTGTGTAGGGGCCGAATATCCACTCTGTTAAAAACAAAATAAAGATTAATTAACTCAACATGCATTAATACATCCTTGAATCTTGGTTTTAATCTGGAAAGTAGACAAAAAAAAAATTAAGAATTTACTAAATAGCAATTCAGTAACTCACTACGCATCCAGAGGCAAAAGCGCCACAAGAACAGACAGTAAAGGCAAGAACAAAAGGTCTCGTCAAGACATTTGATATCCCAGACAGAAGTGATGAAGAAGAAGAAGCAGAAGCTAATAATAAACCCTCTTCCATTTCTTTGAACGTGGAACTAAAAGTATGGTATAACGATTAATACAGTTACATATCAGATCGTGTTGAAAGAACGATCCAAGAAGGAATACCTGGACAGGGTCAACTCTGATCAAAAAGAAAAACAAGCCAAGAAATGTAGAGGAGTAGTTCACCAAAAATAAAAAGAAATGTAGAGGAGTCCACGCTGGTTTTTGTTTTTTAGATACTACTATCCAGCGAGTATTTCAATAAACAATTTATTTTCATTAACATTACATACTCAATTAAGACTCTAATAATCAAATTCTACTTCTGTATCCATGTGAACGATGAAACGTGGTTAAATTCGAACATTCTATGCTAGGCTATCCGCTCTTATGTTCTGAGTTCTTGGTACATGATCAGATCCTAGTAAGTAAAACTCTTCTTCGGACTCTTGAAATCTTCCAAATATATTGCAAAAACAAATCATTCTTCATGTTCCAAAACCATCTCCACCACCTAAGAAAAAAGTTACCTGACTGCTGTATGTTCCTTATAAAACTCAAATATTGTATAATGAAACACATTTTATTAATGCTTAAGAAAACTCTCTCAAAAACTTAAGTTCTTAATCTCTAAACTTACACCTTATATCATGCTTTGACATATCCTTATATGGAGATTATAAAACTTTTAATCCTTTTAGATAATATATTTAGCTAACTCCTAAATATATTATAAATCCCAAACAAAATAGGATTAAGTCTTAGCATGGACTTCAAGCTATTTTTTATTCAAGCTTAGTTCAACATTTCTCATGCATTTCATTGTCCAAATAAGGTGTTCTATTTCCGAATGAAGGGGAGATAACCTAGCTCTCGTATTCATGGCCCCCATCAACCCATCAAACCGTTCCAGAGCGCTATACAATCCTTGACCTGAGAACCTGTCCTTCTCCTTCCATGATCCATCCAAAACACCAACAACCGATATCTGTGGTATCATTTGGACCTGCATCTCGCTGTTTTAGAATGGACGTTGGGTTGTTTTGTCTTGTACATCATGCCATGAGGTTGATTCTGTGTCTGCCAAAGAAAGAGTATCGCTTGGTTCAATATCTATATTATTGAAGACATTGTTGTTTCATCCTTTCCAGATATACCATAAATCCATGGAAAGTGATGGTTATCCTTCGGGTGTTGAACTCTTAAGAACAGATAAACCATGTTAGTATAAACCGGTTGTGTAGGGAAATGTTTAGATTCAATGGAATCCTCGAGGGAGCCCACAGTTGGAGTACTGGTGGAAAACTCAAAGAAAACATGATTGATCGATTCCTCCTCCGCTCCACAATGTGCACACTAGGTGTCTCCTTGTAAATGATATGCTCAAATTAACCTTCAAGCTACTCTCTCAAATAATAGGTTCGATGTAGTACTTGAGGATCGAATCCACAGAGACCAAATCTTACACTTTATTTCTGTGGGATCAAAATTAAGCTAAAACAATATGGTTTTTAAATTAAGAAAATAAAACAAGCAACTAAAAGAGAATGATTTGGGTTGGTTTTTCAGATGATAAAAGAGCTAAGTCTAAGGTGAATGATCGGAAATCAATGAGCATGAGCCAAACATCTATTCAAGGAACAAATCACAGCAAGTCTTAAACTCGAACAACAAGACAAGATTGATCCACTCTCATGGCATCCATCCTTTTATCATGCATTCCTAATATCTAAACTGCCGTTTGAATCAGAGAAAGATGATAAACATTAAGACCAGATTCGATAAGTTCACAATTTCCCTAACATCTACTTTCGCTGGTTAGGGACAAATTGCTCATTCATGTTATTTCTAGCAAGCTAAAACACTTTTGGGGAATAAATTAAACCTAGAATCAGGCACTGCACTAAATAACGAGTTTAATGCAGGCAGTAAGTTCAGCAATGAATGGAGACAATCAAAACATAAATCCTTATTTGTGTTTAGCTCATGAATCTATGATCTCCTAGCACCCTAGAGTAAGCAAATTAACTACTCAGCCATGAACAGAGAAAACACAGAGATTAGAGATGAAGAAAACATGTCTGAATCAATAAATAATAAGAAAGAGGGTTTAGAAATCTTCTCCAAAGGTTGTAGAGATTCTTCTCCCTCAAAGATACAAAGTATTGAAATCACAAATCTCCAAAACCTCAAATCTGGTTTCTGGTGTAAAAACTAGCGTAGAATATAATAGAAAATAGGAAAATAATATATATGGAGGCTCCTGGCGGCTGGGAGAGAAAAATAGGAGAATTAGGGCAAATCCCGAAATATATTGTAATTTCCTTAAAAATCTATGCCGCAGGAACATGCAATCGGGTTGCTCCGCTCACTCGGGAATAGTCCAGCAAACTGATCTTCGTGAAAATCATCAAATTGCTCTATTTTCCTTCAACTGGTCCATCTTCCATCCAAAGCAACTCCAGACCTGTAATGACTCAAAAAGGACTAAAAGGACTCGATAAAGACTCGAAAACACTTTAGAAAAAATTGTTAGAATATGTTAAAAACACCATATATCAGTAAACCTCTAGGCATGAGAATTTTATCTACAAATACATCATGAGAATATTTTCCATAAGAAGTGCTTGATTTTTGGTGGACAACGTATTTTCCATGAGAATGCCTTCAATTGGGTGATGTGTGGACCATATAGTGGGAGGAATCTGTCAACATCCAGGTAGACCCTCTCCACTTGATAACTTGAATTGACAGTATATTGCCCATTCTTGGTAAAGTGCCAATCATCTTGATCGAGCCTCTAGGTTTGACTCACTAGTATATTTTCTATTAACTGGGGAGTCTGCTATGGATTGAATTGCCTGGGATTCCATGTTCTTGTATTTGGGTTGATGAGGGAGTCCATAGTGAGATTAGGGTGATTTATTTCTTGACTATTATTCGCTGGTCTTGGACGAGTGGTTAGGACCATGGATCCTTTCATATGGATATAGAAGTCCAAGATTCCACCATCATCTTGATTAGTCATTTAATAACCAGAGATCTAGCTGAAACAATACTACACCATCCATATGATGGTGAATATGATCTGATCGGCTCAAGGGTTAATGCATTCTGAAATACCGTCCTTAATTTAAAGACTCTAGAAAACAAGTAGTTAGGCTTCTCTATCAATTTCCAGAATTACTTTCCAATCATTTCCATATTAAGATCTGTGAGGTCTTTTAAACTCAATCCTCTATTTTCATTGAGTTGACATAACTTGTCTCAAGATTGTCAGTGCATACCTCCAATATTTCTCTCTGAGCTCCACCAAAACTATGACACCGTACTCTTTAATTTCTTTGTTACTGTTTTTGGAATTCAGAAGCTGGCATAACAAAGTTCGGTAATGTAGTAACTACTAAATTGATTACCACCTCCTTTTCTCTTTAGTAGAAAATTTGAAAGTCCGTCTATTTACTCTAGAATGAAACTGAACACTTGTACTTTAAAACTGTCCAAGTGTCCTGGGATTCCCAAATATGAACTCATCCCACCAATTTTTTGTATTCCTAATATATCCCGGAGTTCCTGCCGTAGTGGTTCCTCAATATTGTGGCCAAACTGGATATAAATTTTTTGGAAGTTGATCAACTGGTCTGACACTGTCTCATACTCCTTCAAAATCCTTAAAATAGTTTGATATTCCTTCTTATTTTCTTTGCAGAAAAAAACTGTCATCCGCAAATAAGATATGTGATATATATCGACGGACATGCCTTTACTACCTTTAAACCTGTTAATTATTTCTCTTGTTCTGCCCTCTTGATGTTTTCTATCAATAATTCCGTGCACATAATAAATAAATACGGGGAAAAAGGATTTTCATGTTTTAAATTTCTGTGTGGATTGATGGGGCCTCTGGGCGGTCCATTCAAAAGAACTTTTTATTATACCAAGGAAATATATTCAATCATCAACTGAATCCATTGAACATTAATTCCCATCTTATGAAGCAATGCTCGAATGAAGCTCTATTCCATTCTATCATATGCATTACTCATATCTATTTTTTATCGCAAAAACAAAACTTAAAGTATTAAAAATATTTCTTTTAGTTTATCAATAAAATTATCATCTCAAATTGAGAACATTGAAATCAAAGTGTTATTTATGAGAATAAAGAGGAGGGTGGAGTTTCTTATATAGAGGAAGGAATGGGAGGTAAGTTCCTTAAATTTTCAATATGAGATGAAGTTAAAGAATAAATTTTGATTTTTTAAAACTTTAATAAAAAAAATACGCCACAATAATAGGGTTATGTTCAATATACAATCTTTCTTGAAATGTATTTTTTTCCCATATATCGTACACTCTCTAGATTTATGCTGATTCATTGGTCTTGATTTTGACCTTGTATCCGTGATCTTAAATCTTCCATTCCACTGACCAGAATTTTTTTTCTGAGGCCTACCTCTGATCACAATGAAACATTCTGCGCTTGACTTAGCCTTTCCTATGTATCATTTTTCTTTTAGTGCAACTTCCTTTGTATATGCATAGTTAATCTTTCTTTCCCATTACCATATTTAAGTGTATGTACCAATGAGTCAAACTGTCTTGTTAAACTCGATAGCACCTGAATAGCTTGATCCTCATCATTCACATTAATGTTTAAACTCACCAAATCTTCTACCAATTTTAAAAACACATCAAAATTCTCTTCTTTGATTTTGTGCTCTTTAATCTTAAAGCTGGCAAAATCCAAACCATGGAGCACAAGCTGCATAAGCATTTAGACTTCCACAATCCAAAGTCCTCTTGACCGTCAAACTTCTCCATCTTAAATTTATCTTGAGCTGGCTCTATAACCTAGACTTTTTGTTAAACTCAAACACCCAAAACCAGTAACCCTCAACCTTCTCAAAAACCTCCAAATGCTGAATAGAACATGAAACCCCTTCTCAACCAAACACCAAGCATAAATCAGAAACTGAAATTGTAATTTTCCTCTGCTAAACCTGATGCTATGATACCACTTGAGAACTTTAACCATTTAAGTCTTTAACCGGTTTATTTCACCTGACTGATTAATCTTAGCACATTTTTTTCCTTGTTTGAGTTTGTTAAAGATATACAAGATTTGTTTATCCAATTTTCTTTACCGATACAACTAGGGAGACA